ACAATAAAATTTTAAAATCTATTCTAAAGCAACCGGGAGCCATTGCAGCGAAGCTGGGACGGTTGATATGCAGTGATGAGAGTAACTAACTAACTAATTCCTTTGACTGTAACAATAACGCAGTTACCATTGCCGACACCCCGCTACTGCACATTACTCAGGTCGCACAGTTAACCTTTTTTTCATGATAGGACTCGTGCACGCGTCATGAGAGAGAGGAGGATGAGAATGGCTGATGTATAGTGAGATTCCGTCTGTCAGTTGGGTAGGTGGGTGTTTCCGCTGGCGGGTGTTAACGTACAGCACACACAGAGAGATGGAGAGTGAGGATGACTCCAGCAGCAAAACAGCATTTTCCAGATGGAAATACTGGTGTTACATCGAGCTGCGTTTCCCCATCAGATACGGTTTCCCCTGCATCTCCGCACAGCGCAGGGGGCACGATTCACCGCGCAAGCGACAGGAAATGCGCACGCTTGCTAAAGGCGCGTAACAGCCGCCCTGTGCTCGCGCCACAGGGGAACTATGGAGAGCGTGAACGATCAAATGTTAGCCTATATGGAGATAGATAGATAGATAGATAGATAGATAGATAGATAGATAGATAGATAGATAGATAGATAGATAGATAGATAGATAGATAGATAGATAGATAGATACACTGCAAAAACAATCCAGAAATAAGTAAAAAATGGCTTAAATTAAGTATATTTAGCCTTAATTTGAGCAGGTAAATAAGATGATTTGCCAATGGAATGAGTATTTTCACTCTTAAAATAAGATAGTTAGATAATATTTACTTGAAATAAGACGATAAAATATTTTTTTCTTATTTTAAACGGAAATTGTCTTGTTCCATTGGCAAAGTGTCTTACTTATCTCCTCAAATCAAGGAAAAACACACTTATTTTAAGAAAAAATAACTTATTGAGATTTATATTTTTTGCAGTGTAGATAGATAGATAGATAGATAGATAGATAGATAGATAGATAGATAGATAGATAGATAGATAGATAGATAGATAGATAGATAGATAGATAGATAGATAGATAGATAGATAGATAGATAGATAGATAGATATATGTTGCAGTATCTATAACAACCCAAGCCCACAGGATTTCAGAATTAGACATCCCAAGTTATTAATTTCATACAATCACCAGATCTGAACGCCCTGTTAAAAAACTTCACACCCATGAGTAGAGGTAATGCAGCCTGATGATATTTACACCACATCAGATAGCGTTCCCCCCATGTTAAGAAGAGGGGGAATGCTATCTGATGGGGTTTATAGGCCCGTCAGATAGCGTTCCCCCCTGATGTCATTTACGTTGAGTTGCAATAAATGCTAAACTCTCTGCAGGTTCTTGTCTTTGTCGTCCGCTCTATTCAGCTGGCTTTGGAACACACGGCGAGAAGGTGGGGGCTGGGTGGTGAGAGTTACAGGGCGAGAAACGCAAAAGTAACGCAATAGTTACTTTTACTAGTAACTAGTTACTTTTATTGTGTAGTAACTCAGTTACTTTTTGGGAGAACTTGCTAGTAACTATAACTAATTACTTTTTCAAAGTAACGTGCCCAACACTGGTGATATGTGGTCACATTTACATGTTCCAGTAAGGAGACGAACAGCTGCATTTTATACCAGCAGCAGGCGGTGCAATAGTGAGTGGTCCGGGCCAACTTATAATGTATTAGAGTAATCCAATCTCGTATTGATAAAAGCATGTATTACTGTATCCAGATTTCCACGTGGCAGGTAACCAACTTCAATCCTGACGTTGACAAAAGAAGATAAAAGGGTTCCAGATCCTGATCATTCCATTGGAAAAAGAAAAAAAAAAAAGCTAATAATCTATTCAGAAAAGGTTATTGATTTCTGATCAAACAAAAAATGTAGAAAAATATTATTTTATTAATCAATGTTGTATTTCTCTCCTGGATTTCAATTGAGAATATGCTTCAACACATTCAAACATACAAACAATTAACAGTCAATACACTCAATTTATACAACACTGTATAAGTGCTATGTTTTTATGTACAATACTACAGTCTGTAAATATTCTTGTATATATATAATTTTCTTCTATAACTACTTAGTCCTTTTATAATGTTTTTATTATATTTATTTTCTTTTTATTGTACAAATAGTAGAGAATAGGATAGAAAAGAAAATTCCTTTATTGTCTCACAATGTTACAGCAGCAAATTATTACAGCATGAGTGATCATAAAAATGTGGACCTTACAAAAAGTGTATAAAAATAACAGAATAGGTGAAAGTGGTTCAATTGAACATATCAAATACTGTACAGTTTTTTTTTACAATATAAATACTGTGCATCTGGAGAAAAAACAATGAACATGAGCATTTTTACACTTTTACAGCAGCATCTTATTTGACTAAGACAGAAACTGTGTAAAAATCAGCATGAATGTAACAACTTATTGAGGTTGTTGGGAACAGTGGTGGTTATAGTGTCAGGGTTAGTTGTGGTTTGAGGACCCAAACGCAGAGGCAGAAAGGCTGAGGAGATTTTTTGCAGTTTTAATGAAATAAACACAGGGTAACAGAGGCGGGAATCCAAAAATCCAACATGAAAAATATAAAGCAAACCAGAACTATGGAGACATCTGGGGAAACAAAACACGAGGAGCCGGGGAGAGACGAGGAACGTAGACCACAGCATGGGAAGACAGCAAAGACAAGGAACCAACAAAGAGTGAGAGCAGAGGGAGAGCATATATATCTGACAGAGACAAAGAGAGGGCTAACGAGCTGACAAGGAGCAGGTGTGAGAGGAGACAACGAGGGAGCCAAGAGAAAAGGAACACACACAAGAGGGCAACAGAGGAAAACAGAAAAACATGAGAACTAACATAAATCTAGAAATTAAAACAAAACTGGAATTAAACCAATAAAACTAGAAAACAAGGAGCAAAGTAAAGAACAACAGAACCAAGACCATGACATATAGAGTCTTCCAGCTGCTGGGAAGAAGGATCTGTGATAACACTCCCTGTTGCATTTAAGGTGCAGCAGTCTGTCAGTGAAGGTGCTCTCCAGTTCAGCACCAGCTTCATGCACGGAGTGGGAAACCTTATCCGACAGAGATGTTAATTTAGTTAGCATCCTTTAGTTTCCCACCTCCTGCACTGAGTCTAAAGGGTATCCATTCAAAGAGCTGGCCTCCCGATCAGCTTATCTAGTTGCTTTCTCCCAGCTACATATAAGCCACTGCTCCAACAGACAGCTCCACGGAAGATGGCTGATGTCACAACATTCAAATAAGGTATTTTGGAGTGCAGGGGGCACTAGTAAAGACCTCAGTCTCCTCAGCAGGAGTCTGCTCTGGCCCTTCTTGTAGAGAGCCTCAGTGTTGTGAGTCCAGTTTATTTTTCAGGTGAACACCTAGGTACTTATAAGAATCCACTATCTTAATGTCCATTCGCTAGATATTGTAGCAGCAGTTTTATTGTCTTATATCAGAATCAGAATGTATCCTACAACATGGCCCTATACTTACTTAGCAACCAAACTCAAAGGTCAGTTTGAGTCTTAGTAACACCATGGTCTCCAAGGCTGCATGAGGGGTTTGGCAAAAACAGAGAACGTGTGTGTAAAACACCTCTTGAGGGTCGCAGTGACTTTGACGCAAATCAGCACACGTGAATTCCAGTAAGATGTCGACACAATATTCCCGGCCAATGCACCAATTGTGGAAGCTCATTGGTAGAATTCTCTTATGACAGAAAGAAGGCCTCAATTCACTCCATCGTCATCCGGAGGGGGGAACATTTATTTACAAAACCGAATTCATACAGGTGTCTTAAACACTTCATACATTCAGCGCTATGTCCTCACATCTGTAATTTCCCCCAACCTTCAATCCAATGTGGGCGGTATTTATAGGCTCCACATCGCACTGTGTGGATACACGTGCGCGGGAATATTGTGTCGACATCTTACTGGAATTCACGTGTGCTGATTTGCGTCAAAGTCACTGCGACCCCCAAGAGGTGTTTACACAGACTCTCTCTGTTTTTGCCAAAACCCCTCATGCAGCCTTGGAGACCATGGTGTTACTAAGACTCAAAACTGACCTTTAAGTTTGGTTGCTAAGTAAGTACAGGGCCATGTTGTAGGATACATTCTGATTCTGATTTCTGATTCTGATATAAGACAATAAAACTGCTACAACAATGTTAATCTGTGTCAGTAATAATAATGATAATACATTTTATTTATAATGTACTTTACTTTTCAAAATAATATCTAAAAGTGCTACAAGGTGTTTGTGAGATGCTCCATGGTTTCCCCTGCATTAATTAGGAGCGGTTCTGCTGAATCCTGCTGGTGTAGTATTCGAAGGTAAAAAAAAAAAAAAGAAGCTGATTGTCATTTAAAGCTGGTGTCTAGATTGACATATGTGCAGATGTCTCACAAGGTGGAGGTGGCACTTGCAGATGTGCATCGTCTCTTACTGCCAGTTGTCTTTCACAGTCCAACAAACATGTGATTTATTGTCAGTACCTAAAGGTGTGATTGCATGTGGGCTCATTTTGGTATGTTTGTCTTGTTTGTGGGTTTGAAGATTTAATCCACTCTATCTGCATAGATAGAGAATAGGACATTTCTTTAGGGGAATAAAATTATCTTTTTTTTCCCTTTGTTTCTGACTAGATTCACAGAAGAAACAAGCGCACAACAATCTTAGTTTTTTTTGTTGTGGTTGAGGAACAGTATTGGAACTTTTGAAATGATGCTGGTACAGTCATCGTTGGTCCTGTAGACTCTGAGGGTTTGCTCATGAATGGAAAAAAAAAATCTCCCTTTCTATTTCTGTCATTTCTTCTTTCCTTGCATGTGATTTTTCAAGACAAAAAGATCTTCCATGCTTTGATCTCCCACACAGTGCATTTTACCGTAGTGTCTGACACATCCTCTATTGCCAAAGAGCTTGCTCTCTCTTGCTTCCTGTTTCACTGCTCTCAAAACTTAGCACGCAACCCCAACCCACTCCCCCATCCCCTGTGCTGTTACAAATCTTGCCACCGTTGTGTTGCAAAAGGCATTGGTGGTTTGTGCCACAGCTGAACTACCTCGCATGGATTTCTGCTTTTCATTCAAGAGCTAAAACTGCTGATCGACGAGTGTCAGAAAGCAAATGGAACAGAGTGAGACATGAGGAGCCTAGTATTTACCTGCATTTATGGATGTATCGTCGCCCTCGGTCTGCCTCTTAACGTTGTGTCGCTGTGGATTCTCCTCCGTCACCATGGGCGCAAGTCGCCCAGCGCCGTCTTCATGGTTAACCTGGCGATATCAGACGTTCTGCTCATCATCTCTCTGACCGTGAAGGTCATATTTTACGCCTCAGAGAGCTGGAATCCTGGAAACATGTTGTGCGTCTGGTTCGTAATGCTTTTTCGGAATAACGTCCGCACAAGCTCCATCTTCATCACCTTCATCAGCGTGGACCGGCTGCTGGCTGTGGTTTATCCATTGAGGTCCAGGCTAGTTCGAACATCAGCTAACGCCGTAAAGGGTTCGGTTCTCGTTTGGTTGATTGTAGTGCTGGTGAATGTCCCAGAGAGTGTGGGCTTCCTGAGGACTATTGATAATCATACATGTTTTGATCCTGACTCAGTCAATGGGACAAATGACATTCATGAGGAAACGCTGGAACGCACAATTGGTTATTTTCAGCTTGTGCTACTATTGACCATGTTGGTGATTAACATTGTCTCTACAGCTATGGTGTCCTGCACACTCCAAAGACATCTAAGTGAGTCTGCAAAGGTCAACAACAAACTGAACGTTATGCTGATTTTTGTCATGAACCTAATGATGTTCATAGTTTTCTTCTTGCCGGTGTCTTTGGTGGTTTTCTTTCATCACCTGCGTCCCGTTCTGAACTGCCTCGCGAGTGTGAACTGCTGCCTGGACCCTTTGTTGTATTATTTTTCTTTTGACGGGTTCTGGAAAAGGAAGGAGGATGTCGAAACGTTTCTTGCAAGTCGTGGAACATGAACAGACTGAGAAAAGTGGAGCGATGTAGTAATTAATCACAGATAAGGAGACATTCTTAAGTCTTGCAAGAAAAATATCTGCTTTTCTTGTGTGTTGCTTTTTACATCCTGTTAAAAATATGAATTTTTTCGGTAAAAGCTCTTTGGTTACCGTTAAAAGAGTAATATATGAATAATTTTATATTAAATAAAGAGACATTCTTAAGTCCTGCAAGAAAAATATATGCATTTATTGTGCTGCTTTTTGCATCCTGTTAAAAATGTGAATGTTTTCGAGTAAAGCTCTTTGGTTGCCGTTAAAAGAAACAAAATGAGTAATTTATGAACAATTTTATATTAAGCCATTTTTTATATTTTATATTAAGTTTCTTTTATGCCAATGCGGCTGTTATTCATTTGTAACAAGAAGGTCCTGGGTTCAAATCCCAGTTTGGGGTAATCTTTGTTCTTTGGCTGCCTCCCACACTCCAACAAAATGAGCGTTATGTAGATTTAACATTTTCATTTGTCTTTATATCGGAGTGTCAGTAGCATCAAGAAAAAAAACAACAAAACAAAAAAAAAACAGAAGAACACACAACCTGGGAAATATATTTTTAGGATTTATCAAAACAAGAAACTCTTTAAAATTTGATTTGTTTTTGTTCAATTAAGTATTTTTTTTGATAAAAGTATTTAACACCTCATACCCCGTCCCTATTTGGACCATTAATTTAAATCCCTATGGAACACGGAGATGTTTTAAGTCACAACTGGACAGGTAAGAGAAGTTTCAGCTAAGAATACGTTTGTCAGACTCTACATGCTGCATATAATGGTAATCGTGGTTACAAATTTCAAATACGGTTTACGTTTATTAGAGTTTTATGTTGACTATAAACATTTTATTAGTGTTTCTATTCATGAACACTCCTGTCTCTTTTTTTCCTGTTTAACTAGGGCACAGTCAGAGCAATAGAAACCACAACAACCTCACAAATAGGGCATCTCCATGTCTTGCTTCTGCCCACACAACAGTGTCTTTCATTCTAAGCACGTGAGATCTGCCGTTTGATTCACACAGCTGATTTGCATGCATAAAATGTTGCTTCTTGTACATAAAGCAAGGTCTCCAGCCCATAAGGCTGCGGCCGGCCGGATATTGCTTGGGTGTGACCCTTCTTAAATTAGAGTGCTGTGTGGAGGCACGCTCCTGCCTCAAGCTGCTCTATGTATGTTTAATGTGACCTACCTGTGCCCTGTGCAGGATGAAGCTCGGCTTCAAGAGCCTGAAAAATAAAACACAACGGCGTGCAGCCTCACATCTGTACTAAAGGCGGTACTGACTCAGCCCTGGTCACACACCGCCTTGTATGGCAGCCTTTATTCGCTGTACTAGTGGATTGTTGCACATGAAGGAGTGTGATATTTGTTTTGTTGTCTTCAATTTTGTTGATTATGAAAAATGTAAATGTATTGGTTTTATTTCTTCTGTATTTTATGCTCCAACCATAAGCTGTGATCTATTTAATCTGGGATGAACACAGAAAATACATAAAGAAATCACAATTTTTCCTATGAGCTTAGTTTTCAAGCACATGCCTGTTTACACGTACAGCAGCTCTCACATAGAAAAGAACAACCCTGTTGTCTCACGTGCTTGGCCACCAAAGTCTCTGTACTCTATATCCTGTTGTGCTGCAGTACGGCACAACTTTGCGTGCAATTCTGTCTGTATGGCCACTCAGGTAGCAAAATACAAAGGATGAAGACTGATCTCAATAAATTCTCATTTACCCGGGAAAACACAATAACCCCAACATCTAACAGCTTAGCACTGCAAAAATGACCTCAAAATGAGTAGAAATGTTTTAAATTAAGGCTATTTACCCTTAATTTGAGCAGATAAATAAGATGTTTTGCCAATGGAATTAGTATTTTACTCTTAAAATAAGGTATTTAGATAAAATGCACTTGAAATAAGACAATGCAATTGTTTTTTCTTATTTTAGGTGTAAATTGTCTTGTTCCATTGGCAAAGGGTCTCACTTAAATCCTTAATTCAACAAAAAATGCACTTATAAGAAGAAATTACGTATTTAGATTTCATTTTTTTGCAGTGAGAGGACAGAGTTGTTAAAAGAAATACATTCCCTTTTTGTAATACATTCAGTTTGGTGCAACAGATATCCTTAATTCAATTCAATTCAATTCAGTTTATTTATATACACTGCAAAAAAATCTAAATCTAGATAAGTCATTTTTTTTTAAATAAGTTCATTTGTTCTTGAATTGAGGAGGTAAAAGAGACATTTTGTCAATGGAACAAGACAATTTACACTTAAAATAAGCAAACACAATTGCATTGTCTTATTTCAAGTGCTTTTTTTCTAATCATCTTATTTTAAGAGTTAAATTACTCATTCCATTGGCAAACTATCTCATTTACCTACTCAAATTAAGGGTGAATACACTTAATTTAAGAAATGTTTACTTATTTCTAGATCATTTTTGCAGTGTAGCGCCAAATTCACAACACATGTCATCTTAAGGCACTTTCCAGTTCAACCAGATCATCCAGTCGAATTGATTCAAAGTTTTCTATCTAAGGAAAACCAGTTGATTGCATGGACTCCTTGACTCAAATACAATCCCTCACACTAAGCATGCTTGTAGCGACAGTGGAGAGGAAAAACTCCCTTTGAACAGGAAGAAACCTCCAGCAGAACCAGGCTCAGTGTGAGCGGCCATCTGCTGAGGCCGACTGGGGTTCAAGGAGTTAGTAATACAGTAGTAGCCCTTCCCTACTTTCCTTGATGGGCCCCTAAAATTTATTTTTAAACATCAATCTTTGTACTAAATTTCTTTCTTCGTCATGATTTTTTGCACATTAACACCTAAAGGGAAGTGTAATCTCCTGGTCAGACCCTGTAATTCAGTAAAAGGGTGTTGGCATTTTTTACTGGGAAGGGCCATTTTGAATGGCTGCTACTCTAATTAACACATTAGATCAACTAAGCTGAATGTTTCATTGCAAATTCTAATCTAAAAAAAAATGCTTATGTAGATATAATCCTTTTAATGAGAGATAAACTGCCAAAATAACAGAAACCTGCAAAAAGCTGATTAGCAGATTTATTTGCTGTTTATTTTTCCACTGATGATTGTAAATCTCATAAAGAATCTGAAAGGGCAGATTTGGTATCCTGTTCACTAAAAACCGATGAATTATTTATGTTTTCTTTATAGCCGATTATTCAAGTAGAGCAGAGTAAACAAAGGCAACGTTTAAAGTCTGTCTCAGGCAGAAGGGATTAGTAGCTGATTAAATTTATTTGAGTAACTTTTTGACAAATGTATACTTTTAGGAGTAGTTTTACTGACTATAGTTTTACTTTTGCTCGAGTTTTGCTTAATCATATTTTGCATCTCTTACTTGAGGTAAATGTTTGGCTGCTCCGTCCATCTTAGGTAACTTCACTGAACACAAACAAGCTTGTTTAAAAAAAAAAAACTATTCCAGATAAAGCCATTTATAGGTTAAGCTAATGTATACACAGGGGTGGATTTAGGAAATGTGGGGCCCTAGGCAAAGACAGGCAGGGGGCCCTCTGAATGGAGAAGACAACACATAAAACAGCCCCATTCTCCAGATAGAGAAATGTTAATAGAATAGACATCCATTATCTGTTCTAGGTTGTGTCCCTCTCTTCTTGTCCCTTTTCTTCTTGTTTTCCTCTCTATGTTTTGTACTCAGCTGACTTTTCATGCTGTCTCTAAAGGAATGAAAGATTTTTTCCAAGCACTAAGCTCACTTAGCTGATTGCTCCTTCCTGTGTTTCCAAAAAGGCCAAAGTAAATAACCCAGTCCTTCTTTTCACTGTAGACAAGCCATGATCTGCTTATCTGTTCTCCATTTTTCATTTGGATGAAATAATAGCTGCATGACAGCAGACAAGATAGAGGAGAGCAGGAGGCGGGGTTACCAATCTACTTGCTCTGGAGAGCAGAGTTCGCTGCTTTTAGATGTTGTCGCCAAAGTCTCCAGTAGCAGAAAAAAGTCGCTAGATTTGGCGCTAGGAGCTTTTTAGAAATCAAAGTGCTAGACAAATAATATTATAAGTCTTCTGATGGCATATTAGCAAAAGGATTTTTTTTATCAAAAACTAATAATTAATGTGCACAAATAAGTTATATTTGTATTAACCATACATGTAAACAGAGTTTTATGGGGCCCCAGGAACTTGGGGCCCTAGGCAACTGCCTAGTATTGCCTAATGGTAAATCCCCCCCTGTGTATAAGCTAAAGAGTAAATGTCACAGGAGGGACTGGTTTCATTTGTGTTAAAAATAAAATGTTCTTAGTAACGTGTTTCTCCTGCCTAGAGTTTTTCAATTTGTTGCCTTAATTTTTATAAAACAGTCTTTAAATATTAGATTTGCCTCGATTAGAAAAATGGAGGGGCTTATCTACTTAATAGTCACATTCTTGGTAGTGTAGGAGGAAGTCAAAAACCCACAGATGCACTGGGGGAGTATGCTTAACCTCTTACACCCTCAGGGGGTATAAATAAATTTCTGCCTGACAAAAACACACAAAAGTAAATCACTTATAGCCTCACAGCTATTAGATTTAAGAAGAAACTTTTGGTACGTCTGTAAAGGTAAGATGTCATAGAATGGTTTTCTGGTGTCAGCACCATTGTAGCTTTGACCCTGCCTGAAATATTAGGGACAAAATACAAAATATTTTGCATTTTTTGAACCTCGCCAAAATTTTCTTTGAAATAAACATTGCAAAACACTACCAAAATATTATTTATAGCACAAACGGTAGTACAGACTTTTAAATCTAAATGTTGTGTAAAAAAAATATACCAAATTTGGACTCAATCAGATGAATCATATTTATTTTAGAATGGTATTAGTGAGAAATTTCTTAGGCGGAGGGGCCATTTTGGCACATTTATCCAAAAATGTCACCAAACTGTGCCAAATGTGTTTTTTACATCAATACTGGGGGTTTGTTAAAATTACGAGGTCACGTAGCAGCTGGACCCACCGGTGGGTCCGTAGGGTTCTAGGGGTTAAAGACTCAAAACCAAAATTAGAACATGGGGCCACTCTGCTTACACTTGC